ATCAGAGGCCTTAATCTCAAGCCTCAGGTCTTTTTAGCTGTTCTTTCCCGAATTTCTAGCTTCCGACTGATCAAATTTGACCGCCATCAACAATATGATTTGGATTTGGAATAAAAGATTTTGGCTCATTCTTATTACAATTCATGAAAACACTTCAATGTCAGGCATCGCCACGATACAGTACTACTCTACAATAATAGTACTTCAACATCAGCAATCTGAGAACCTCGTATGCAGTCAGCTTCATGATCATACACACAAGTACTGTCTGCAGTTAAAGCCTGAATATCTGCCCAAATTATTTCTAAATTAATAAATCTAGAGGTGCCTCAAGCTCTTACTTGTGTTCAAGCTAAAGGAAGGTCTCATGGTGCTTTCCGTGTACTTGGTGACGAGTTTCTTTCTTGGTAGACTGCATAAATCCTGCGAATTGTTGTGATTCTGCTTGAATTGCTGTGAATTTTGCAGGAATTCCGCGGAAATCAGCTAGTGCACACCCATTTCTAGACGACGACTACGCCGCCCCTGTGTGACCTTGACAGATTGACCAAATTTCTTCTAAATATAATAATACTGCTCACACAAACATCTATTTATTAACATGCATTTGCACAGTTTCTAGTACCGGTTTTTCGACTGTTAACAAAGAAACTGTTCATTCACAAAAATTTGTTAACAAAAGAAGAGAAAGTAAAAGTAAAAGTAAAAGTAAATTTTGCTCCTTGAAGTAAAAGTAAAAGAAATTTTAAAAAATTATTAAATTGTGGAACCGTAGATACCGTAATCGTAACCGTAACCGTTACCGTAACTCAAGCAAAACACTGTAAAAGCCACCACGAAAAAAAACGGCAAAAAATTCCACTTCCAAATGAAAAATAACCAAATCTAGTATCTCTAGTAAACTAAAAACTAAAAAATAAACGGATTCATTGTGTTTCATTTCATTTCCTTTAATTTCCCTACTCCTTGTCCATTAATTTACAACAATATTACACTAAAATTATTACACCCACAAACACAAAAATAAATTTTACTTTACACTTTAAATTTTGCCTTTGAATCTGAATCACGTTTAATGTGATCAAGTAAAGTAAATTGTATTTTATATGTTTATTGAATGCTGCAATTCATTAGTCACATCATTTCAATTGCAGAGAGTGAAATTCAATGCAGAATGTTTCTTTCACGTTTGCTAAGAATCTGTTCTGCTTCCTTCGTTCCAGTGCTATGATCACAAAATACTCTTGCTTAAGTTATCGAAAAAAAGCAGAAAAATAAACACATTTCAGCGTGTTATTATTATTGTTGTTGGTATTTTTCTGTCGAATAACGTCAATAACGTCAGAGATTCAATGCGATTTCAAATTCAAAAAATTCCAATAATAATAATAATAATAATTTTAAATTTTAGAGCACCTCAAATTATTCACCAACTCAATTACTGCTATCCAATGTGCTACTACTCTCAAATCAAATTATCTTATTAAGAGCATGAATTTAAAATTAAAAGAAGTAATTTTCTAATTGTAAGATAAACTAAGACCTTTTCTTTGCTATTTTTTGCAAATTTTCACAAATATTTCTAAAAATTACTTGAATTTAATGTACTTTCCACTGTTTTGCACACAATTTTTACAGCAACCAAACCAGCAGCACATCACACACTACAGTCGAGAGTCTAAATTGTCTGTAATGTGTCGTCTTTTTGTAATTTTTTACAGTTTTCTACAGTCAATTCAGCTATTATCATGCAAAAATACATAAATTACTACTATATATTACACATTAAGAAATGTCTGTTATATGTACATTACAATTATAATGTCTTATATTACACAAAGCAAACGAAAAAATCATACGATTGAATTCTCTCGATGCAAGGAAGTAAACGTGAAAGGATATTTTTTAGTGCTTCTTTTTTTGTTTCTCTTACAATTAGTGTAAAATTTTCAGTGTAATGCGGAAAAATAATCACTAGAGTCAACCACTAAAACAAAACGACATTACACGGAAACGATACGATACGATCTCAACGATCTGAACGATCTGCAATCTGCAATTTGCAGTCAAATGAAGAAGTACCCTAGAGAATGCTCATGTCTACAGTTACTATCTACGGTTATGCATGGTTGATATCACGTTATCATGCCCAAACCCAAGAGTTTGTGTGAGATATTGAGACTGCAAAGGCAAGACTGTACGCAGTTTTGTGGGAGACTGTACACTAAATGAGACTGTGCATGAAAAAATGCATGATGGATGCATGATGCATGATCAGATGCATGTAAATGTTTAAGAGATGATCACAACAATTTGATCAATCAATTCGATTAGATCAACATGATTTTCAACAACAACAGCAACCAACCCCAAATGGTGTGTGTAAAGCCAATTAAGCAGAGGAGAAATAGCGCCGACGCAACAGTTTTAGTTTTAGACAAAACATAAAAATTTTAGACAAATTGCAAGCTTTTAGAGATAAATTTCAGGCTGTAAGAGCAGCACGAATTACAAGGTAAATGGACACAAATAGCAAAATATATGTATGGATGAAATTGGATAGAACCTGATTTTTTTTTGAAATGTCATCTTACAAGTCCAAACATTCCAATTTTATGCTCTTACTTATCAATTATTTTTATGTGGCACTCATAAATGTGTCCTTGTTTGGTCACACCATTACTTCTTCCCATTTCTCTGGGTACTTTTGATTGGGAAACAAGTACTTTTAGCCCTGATCTAATAGTCAGTAGCAGCCTGATTTGACGCTTTTTTGCCGTATTTCTCCCTCTTGCCATCGCTCTAATTGTAGCGTTTGCATGCCTCGTCGCCTCACCAAAAAATTTTTGGACACTTTTAGAAATTTTGAGCAAATTTTACCGACCCTTTCAATTTGCCGAGTGTCTATAAAAGCCTTAAAAGCAGAGTCTTTATTGGCAGTAATCATTTGGAAGACGTCAGCCGTAGAATTCCACTGAAGCTGTTGATACTTCATTAGCTTTTTTCATCATCATTTTTTTAAACTTTTTTTTCATTTGTTTTCATTTTCCACTTCCGTGTGCTACTCAAGAGACCGTTGTTTTGCTTCATTTCAAATTCCCAATTCTGATCTGATGGTTCTGATCAAGATTTAGATCCAAAATGATCAAGATCATAAGTCTAACAAGATCAGATCATAAGGCTCATATAGGTAAACAGATGAATTGATCACAAGTGGAATATCTCATATAGATCGATCAGACAGATTAGATAGATAGGAGGATGTAGCCTAGGAAGATTAACAGAATCTCTCTAGGCCGCAAAATGAAATGTGCGCTCGGATATGGTGGCTGTGAATGTAAATGGATTTAAAAATTGAAAGATAACCTTTTGGATTCTAGCAAATTTGATTCTAGGATTTTGAACGAAGAGCCCAAAATGGAGTCCGAAGATCCAAAGCAGTGTTTGGTTGAGGCCGAAGGCATGAAACGCCTTGCCTTCTGCGGCGTTGCCGTGTCCACAGTGGCCACGTTGGTCGCCATTGTGTGCGTACCGATGCTGTGCACCTATATGCAGAATGTGCAGTCGAATCTTCAGGATGAGATCAGTTTCTGCCGTACTCGTTCGGTATCGCTTCGTGGCGAATACACCAAGGTGAGTGCTGCTGGTTGCCTGAAGCCTGAAATCGAGAGAGAAGTCTAAAAATCAGCAACAAATGTGGCTTCTCTCTCCCCGTCCCAAATTCTCACGTTTGCCCTCAGGAACATACTGTAATACTACTAATCGGTTGCGAATTTCCAGCTGGCTCATTCACGCCAGGCCGTAAAAGCCGAACGTGAGAAGCGTCAAGTGACCCACGAATGCTGCAGTTGTGGAATCGGACCATCGGGCGCACCCGGAGCACCTGGTCCAGACGGTGAGGACGGTCGTGATGGCAAAGCCGGTAAACCTGGACCGAACGGACCAGACGCTGAAGAAGGACAGAAGGTTTGATGATAGACTGATCATAGAGGATAGAATTGAAAGCCACGACCACTATTAGAGCCACTAATCTCATGAGAGACCCTAAAAATCCGTGAAAATTCCAGCTATGATGCATAATTTAAAAAGAAAATGAATGGCAGATCAAAGGAAGATGCTATTTCAGCCAACTGAGAAAGACTGGTGCTTCAATTGCCCAGAGGGACCAGCAGGACCGGCCGGACAGGCAGGACCCAAAGGACCACAAGGAACAGCAGGCGACAAAGGCGAGGATGGTCCAGCTGGACCACCCGGACCGACCGGCCCACTTGGCCCGGTCGGACCCAAAGGACCAGTGGGAGAGGCTGGCGCCGAAGGTGAAGCCGGCAAACCGGGCGTACAACACGAGGTAAGACAACACGAGATGCCTGAGAAAACACGTCAACAATTTGAGAAGAAAAATTCAAATTTTTGGCTGAAAAATGAAAAATTTTAAGTTCTTTAAGTATCTTTCCAAATCAAAATCCAAAACTAGGACGTGGGTGACCTCCTACGATGGTTTTGCTGATGCGAGTGGTCTGTTGCAGGTTCCCGGTCCACCCGGACCACCAGGACCACCCGGAGAGATGGGACCCGCCGGTGAGGCAGGACCAGAAGGTCGTGATGGTCGCCCAGGACGCAAGGGACCACGTGGCCCGGCCGGTGAGAACGGCAAAGACGCCGAGAATGGCCAAGATGGTGCCCTGGGTGACCAAGGCGAGGCTGGCGCTGACGGACCGAAAGGCAGCTGTGACCACTGTCCACCACCCAGAACCGCTCCAGGCTATTAAACGTCTGCTGCTGGATTCACATCAAAATCACCACCACCCCTCTACAATGCTTCTCTACCTCCAACTGTTATACCTTTCTGCAAAAACCATATGATTTCCTTTATTGCAGAGATGCAAAACTAAATTTAAACTTACTTAATGCCTAAAATAATTATAATTCAAAATTGAAACCGAATAAAATGATTTTATCATGACTGTGAACAATGCACTGTGTGAACACTATAATAATAATAATAATTCACTGCGAAAACTGTAGTCACTTGAAAGACTTCAGACGATTTGGAGCCCGAAATAGAGGAGG